TTTTTTTTTTTTTTTTTTTTTTTTTTTTTTTTTTGACTTTCAACCTATCTTCTCTTACCATTTAAAAATATTATATCTTTAAATTATTCTAACAATCTTGTCTAAGTTTCTCCTTTGAATAAACTACCTTTCTTAAATTTGTGAGCATATTTGGACATTTTAATTTGATATCTTAGAGATTTGATTTTTGAGGAATTTAAAAAAAGTAGTTCAGTGAAGTTGATCTCAAAGAAGAACACAGAAGAAACTAGCTAGGATTGGGTAAATTTTAGAACTTTTAAAACCTTTACTCTATAGTCTAGTTCTCCACAATTAATCTAAGTTTTGGAATCTTATACTAATCTATTGGTCTTAAAGTTACTAAAATCTTTGGAGAATGAATCATTTAAATTTTATTAAAAGCACCTGAACTAAATTCAAGTGCAGGGTCCGATCTGATAAAAATCAATAGTAAAATTGAACTTTTAAGAAAATAATAAAAAGATTAAGGAAACCTCATATTCTCCATGCGCAACGCACGTGAGATGCGGGTCAAAAGCCAGTAGACGACCAAGGTGCTAAGGTGGGCCCCCTCATTGATTATTTAACCCCCAACCTCATGCACTGATTTTTCGGTCTTCATCCCGTCGTCGCTGCCGGAAATGGACATGAAAGAAACAATCAACGACGTCGCCCTGGCCATCACCAAGCGCATTCTCCAACACGACGAAGCCAAGGGTTCCAACGTTGTGATATCCCCCTTGTCAATCTACGTGCTTCTCAGCCTTGTCGCTGCCGGCTCCAAGGGCCCCCCGCTGGATCAACTTCTGTCCTTCCTCAAATCAAACTCCATCGACAACCTCAACGCCTTCGCTTCTCATATCATAGACAAGGTCTTCGCCGATGCCTCTTCCCGCGGTGGACCTCGCCTTGCGTTTGTCAACGGCGTTTGGATCAATCAGTCACTTTCTCTCAAGCCTTCTTTCCAACATGTTGTGGACAAATATTACAAGGCCATGCTCTGTCAAGTCAATTTTGAACCGGTGAGTGATTGAAAATGTTTGCTGAATCTTATTTATTTATAATCAAATAAATTACGAAGATATAAAAAGAATAATAAATAAAAAAATAAATATCTAGATGTTTGTCATGTAATAAAATATGAGTACTAAATATTTTTAATTTTTTTTATTCAAAGGCTGATAAAGTGATTTCGGAAGTGAACTCATGGGCTGAAAAAAACACGAATAGAGTAATTAAAGAGGTTCTTCCCCCTGGATCAGTGGATAGTTCCGCTGAGCTCATCCTTGCAAATGCACTCTACTTCAAAGGAGCATGGGAAGAAGCATTTAATGCTTCGAAAACAGAGAAGAGCGATTTCTACCTTGTTGATGGGAGTTCAGTTGAGGTGCCGTTTATGACCAGCAAGACGAAGCAATATGTAGCTGCCTACGATGGATTTAAAGTTCTTGCATTGCCATACAAACAAGGATCTGACGCACCTCACTTTTCTATGTACTTCTTTCTCCCAGATACGAAGGATGGATTGCCAAGTTTGATTCAAAAGTTAGATTCCCAGTCCGAGTTCATCGACCGTCACCTTCCATTTAGAAAGCTTAAACTCGAGAGATTTAAGATTCCAAAGTTTAAATTTTCCTTTGGGATTGAAGTTTCCGATGTTTTAAAGAAGCTAGGATTGGTGCTGCCTTTCTCTGAAGGAGGCTTGCTGGAAATGGTGGAGCCCCCAATGGCTCAAAAGCTTCGTGTTTCTAAAGTATTCCACAAGGCGTTTATTGAGGTTAATGAAGAAGGCACAGAAGCTGCAGCTTCTTCAGCTGTTGTCGTCACAAAATATAGCCTGACTTTAGGTAAAATCGAGTTCGTTGCCGACCACCCGTTCTTGTATTTCATCAGGGAACACAAATCAGGAACTTTGCTTTTCATTGGGCAGGTGTTAAACCCTCTTGTCCATTGAGTAATACCAATAGACTGGAGCTAAAGAATAAACCACCTAAATAGCTGCAATAAAATCTAGTAACACTTACTTAATGTTGCTAAAGACATGTTTTAGCGTATCGTATGAATATTATATGTATTATCTATAACATGTTTTGTGTGATGTTCTTAAGCTGCTATTCCTTGTTTTACCAAATTGTTTTATTGTTCAATAACATCATTTCTATGAATTGAAGTAGAAAGATAAGATTTGGGCATTTTTTTTAATATGAACCACCTCCAAAATTCATCACTAATAGATATTGTACTTTGTCAACTTTTACTTTTAAGCTTCTCAGTTTTTAAGATGTCTCTGTTCCGTAGAGGTTTCCATATCCTTATAAGGAATGTTTTGTTTTCTTCTTTAATCCATGTGGAATCTCACTGTTAGACGAACACGACTCTCCACAATGGTATGATCATGGGTTTATAGTGAGGGATACTAACTCAATTGGTTTGAGGTCTTTTGGAGGAGCCCAAAGCAAAGCCATGAGAGCTTATGCTCAAAGTGGACAGATATCATACCATTATTGAGAGTTGTGTTCATCTAACACTCACAACCCATCTCCCTTCGGGGCCCAACGTTCTCGCTAAGCACACCGCCTGATGTCTGACTTGTTGGTGGAGAGTCCCACATTGACTAATTAAGAGAATGATCATGAGTTTATAATAAGGAATACATGTCCATTAGTATGAGCCATTTTGGGAAATTAAAAGCAAAACCCGAAGAGAAAAGTTCAAAGATAACAATATCTGCTAGCGGTAGCGGTAGGCTTGAGCTGTTACAAATAGTATCAAAGCCTGCCAGCGAGGATATTGGGGGGTGAGGGGAACAAAACATTCTTTCTAACGGTGTGAAAACCTCTCCTTAGTAGACACATTTTAAAACCGTGAAGCTGATGACGATATGTAACAGAAGTAATAGACTAAAGCAGATAATATCTGCTAGTGGCAAGCATGGATTGTTATAGAAACTACTTTGAAGCTACCGTATGCATGTCATAATTTTAAAAAGTAAGTTTGTTTTATTTCTGCGCGTTAGATAGATCGAGAATTAAAGCAGATAGAAAGTATACTTTCCTTTCATTTACAATTTTTTGTTCTTTTATAAAAATAAGCATGCATAAGTAATTTAATATTTTTCTTGATTGTATTAAATTTGAATAAAAACCAAAGTAGAGAAGATAAAGAATTACTCATTCTTTTAGGGATATTTTTTAAGTTTTTATAAGAGGTTGAATTTGAAAATTAAAAAGTATTTTTGAAATTTTTTTTAAAAAAATTAAATGTATTTTTCAAAATATTTGGAATAAATTATCTTCTCCTACAATTTCAAAATATTCCATTTTTAAATTATTGAATAAATTATCTTTCTTATATTTGGAACATTTTGATTTGATACCTTAGAAATTTGATTTGATACCTTAGAAATTTGATTCGGAGAAGTTTGAAATTTTTTTTTGTGACATTGATTGGAAGGAAGGAAGAAAAAAAAAAAGGCTTGCTAAGATTGGGCGAGTTTTAGAATTTTTAAAACTTCTCCTAAATTAATCTATTATATCAATCTATTGATCTTAACATTAAAATCTTTGCAGAATGAATCACTAAAGATCGGGAACTAGAATAGAAGAAATGTTGCATGAAAATTATTAAAACTATATAATAAATTTTTGATAAAAAAATAATTTAAAATTTATTAAAATCACCTGAACTCATTTTTTTAATGCGAAAATAGAATCATACTCGAAGTGGATTTATGGTCAAATATTCTCCATGCGCAACGCACGTGAGATGCCGGTCAAAAGCCAGTCGGCGACCAAGGTGCTAAGGCGGGCCCCTTCCTTGATTATTTATAACCCCCAACCTCATGCACTGATTTTTCCATCCCATCTCAACAACTGAACAACTTGATTCATCGATCTCGAACCCACTCTCCTGTTGCCAGAAATGGACATGAGAGAAGCAATCAGAAACCATGGCGACGTCGCCATGGCCATCACCAAGCGCATTCTCCAACACGACGAAGCCAAGGGTTCCAACGTTGTGATATCCCCCTTGTCAATTTACGTGCTTCTCAGCCTTGTCGCTGCCGGCTCCAAGGGCCCCCCGCTGGATCAACTTCTGTCCTTCCTCAAATCAAACTCCATCGACAACCTCAACGCCTTCGCTTCTCATATCATAGACAAGGTCTTCGCCGATGCCTCTTCCTGCGGCGGACCTCGCCTCGCGTTTGTCAATGGTGTTTGGATCGATCAATCACTTTCTCTCAAGCCTTCTTTCCAACAGGTTGTGGACAAATATTACAAGGCCCTGCTCCGTCAAGTCGATTTCCTGACTAAGGTGATTGATACACTCTTCTTTCTTTCGCTCTTTGATTTCTATCTATACACTTTTATCATTTCTTTGGTTGTATTAAAGGCTAATGAAATGATTTCAAAAGTGAAGTCTATTGAATAAACATTAAATGATATTTTTCTTTAGTCGATTTTAAATTCAGAAGTGGCTAAGAATCATGATTTAAATTCAGAAGTGGCTAACAATAATGGTATGATATTGTATACTTTGAGCATAAATTCTCATGGTTTGGCTACCCAAAAGAAATTAACCAACCTGGGACTCACTCCCAATAATCCTCACTCCCATGGCTTGGCTTGGCTACACAAAAGAAATTAATCCACGTGAGACCCACTCCCAATAATCCTCAACAATGGTTAGAAATCATGGCTCTCCATAGTGATATGATATTGTCCACTTTGAGCCTAAGCTCTCATGGCTTTGGTTTAGGCTTCCCCAAAAGGCTCGTATCAATGGAGATAGTATTTTCTCTTATAAATCTATGATTTTCAACTAAATTAACTAATGTGAGACTCACTCTCAATAATCCTAGAAGCTCTGGAAAACTGAAAGGCCAAAGGCCCAGAGTTGTCATAATAAATAGTGGCACTTTTTATGACCATGTGAATGCTTGTTGTTTTTAGGCTAATGAAGTGATTTCGGAAGTGAACTCATGGGTTGAAAAAAACACGTATGGACTTATCAGAGAGATTCTTCCCGCTGGATCAGTGGGTAGTTCCACTCAGCTCATCCTTGCGAATGCACTCTACTTCAAAGCGGCATGGCAGCAGGCATTTGATGCTTCGATAACAATGAAGCGTAATTTCTACCTTATTGATGGGAGCTCAGTTCAAGCACCCTTTATGTCCGGCGAGAAGGACCAATATGTAGCTGTGTTCGATGGATTTAAGGTTCTTGCATTGCCGTACAGTCAAGGTCCTGACCCTCGTCGTTTTTCTATGTACTTCTTTCTCCCAGATAGCAAGGATGGACTGGGAAGTTTGATTGAAAAGTTAGATTCTGAGCCTGGGTTCATCGACCGCCATATTCCACGTGAAAAACGTGAGCTGTGGGGATTTATGATTCCAAAGTTTAAAATTTCCTTTGGGATTGAAGTTTCCGATGTTTTAAAGAAGTTAGGATTGGAGTTACCATTTGCTGAAGGAGGGTTGTTAGGAATGGTGGAGTCCCCAATGGCTCAAAGGCTTCGTGTTTCTAAAATATTCCACAAGGCGTTTATTGAGGTTAATGAAGAAGGCACAGAAGCTGCAGCTTCTTCAGCTGTTACTGTAGGAACAGTAAGCTTGCCTATAAATAGAATAGACTTCATTGCCGACCACCCGTTCTTGTATTTGATCAGGGAAGACAAATCAGGGACTTTGCTTTTCATTGGACAGGTGTTAAACCCTCTTGTCGATTGAATAATACAAATACACTGGAGCTAAAGAATAAACTTAAATAGCTGCAATAAAATCTAGCAACACTTACTTAATGTTGCTAAAGGAATGTTTTTAGCATATCCTATCAATATTATAAGTATTATCTATAACATCGGTCTTACTTCTTGTTTTACAAATTGTTTGTTTGTTGAGTTATGTTTAAATTGTCACGTTAATTATTCAATAACATTATGGGAGTAGAAAGATAAATTTTGGACACTTTTTTAAAATACAAACCTTTCTTTGAGACTACTTAGAAGCTACGAGAATTACACCGTATCACAGTCGTACATTTTCAATCAGTGCGTTGAGATCTTGATTTATAGATATCGTTTACAAATAATTTAATATTTTTCTTGATTGTATTAAATTTGAATAAAAACTAAAGTAAAAAAGATAAGAATTACTGTTTTTAACAAAAGAGTTTTTTTTTGGGATATTTTCTGCTTAATTATTATTCATTAAATGACATAATTTGAAATATGAGTGATTCTAATCACCGCTACTATAAAGCAAACAAACACTAATATAGTATTTCATTGAGTTGTGTTTTCTCTGATGGACATCACAAAACCAGACAGAAGCCATGCCGACGTGGCCATGACCATCACCAAGCGGCTTCTCCAAAGCGAAGGCAAGAACTCCAACGTTGTGTTTTCGCCATTGTCGATCCATGTTTTGCTCAGCCTTATTGCTGCTTGCTCTAACGGCCCCACTCTGGATCAGCTTCTTTCATTCCTCAAATACAACTCCATTGACCAACTCAACCATTTTACTTCTCAAATCGCGTCCATGGTCTTGGCTGATGGCTCTCTCAGCGGTGGGCCTCGCCTTTCGTTCGCCAATGGAGCTTGGGTTGGTTGATATATCACTTGCGCTCAAGCCCTCTTTCAAACACCTTGTCCAAAATGCTTACAAATCCACTCTCTCTCAACCCGATTTCAAGACTAAGGTGACACACCTCTTCATACTCATAGTGGATTTTAATGAAAATCATGTTCAAATTCAAACATTTAGTGAAATCACACTCAACTTTGGATATTTATTTTTAAAATATCATTATTTTCGTATAGACGAAGGAATTAGGTACAGTAAGATCCCACATCGGTTGAGGAGGAAAACGAAATACTCTTTATACGAGTATAATCTCTTCGTAACAGACACGTTTTAGAAAACTTTATTAAAGTCCGAAAGCGAAATTCCAAAGAGGAAAATATCTGCCAGCAGTTCTGAGACATTACAAATGGTATCAGAGCCAGACACCGGATGATGTGTCATGAGCTTCAAAGAGGGGCGAACATGAGGTGATGTGCCAACAAGGAGGCTAAGCCCCGAAGGGAGTGGATATGAGGCAATGTTCCAGCAAGGACGCTGAGCTCC